TGTATTTTGGAAACTACTTATGAGCTTACTTGGTCATGTAATATACAATGATTTGAACATTTTATAAATTTCCATAAGTTCATCTTGTTTAATCAAGGTGGAATCCCTGTGTGTATGGTGGGAGTAGCTATGCATTTAGGATATTAACTATTCTGATCTTGTCAGTTTGATAGCACCTTCCCCCTCAGCATGCAGTCAGAATTTCTCCCATCCCAGGATCTCATTCTAAACCCTGCCTGAAAATTTAACAACAACAAAAAAATATTTACTTTCAAAGCTAATAGACTGGTTAAAATATAGTAGGGCTTACTCCCTCCCAGTTGCTAAAAGCTCACTCTATGTTCCTTTTCTGGTAGAAAAAATATTTTTGTTCTCCTAAACCTCCCCACTGTGTACATATTCTTCCATCTTGTGTTTTTTATTGCTGTACATGCTACACACCTTGCTTGAGAAGTATTCCATTCACTCTCCCTGTGGGTTGTGATCCATGTTTGAAGCCATAAATTTCTTACAGCTGGAACCAGAAAAACCTAGTGATACACTTAAGTAGTACCTGTTAGATGTATTAGGCACATGGAGAAGCACAACCTGGATTCCATTGTTAGAAACCATGTCTTCATGTTGCAGAAAAGGTTTCATGTCATATACTTGTGGGTTCCCCCTATTCTGGGTATTCATTTTATCCCACTGTTTGACAGGTCAAAAATTACCTGTAGTTTAAATATAAATTATATACACTAAACTTCTAGATCACTCACAGTCATTCACATTCACAGAATAATATACAGTTATAACCTCTTAGTACTTTAAGAACATCAAGCAAAGAAGTAAGCACCAAGAAGTAATGTGTTCACTAATCTCAGTTGGCTTGTCTGAAACAAATACTTAATATAGATGGAACTCTGACTCATAGAAGGAAGTGGTAATAAGCATCAAATAGAAAGTTAAACAGTTTCTGTAGCTGATCAGCTGGAACAATTTTGTCTTGGTAACAGACCTGTGCCTCTTGCTTTAATGTTAAAGAGGCATTTTTATACGTTACAAATTATTTTGTGTTCCACCAGCCAGATCCTTCATATTTCATTTTATTGTGTAGCTAGAAGTGGCACACCAGAGGCACATTTTCTTAAAGCACACACTAAGTACCCTAGATGCACTGATATCAATTTTCTTAAAGTGAAACAATATCCATACCTACATACGTGAGAAAGGGCTCCTCTTTGCTGTAATCTGAGCCAGTTAAGCAGGGCAGGGAAGCAAATTAAAGCACAGTATTAGTTATTCTGTGATGTAATACACTCACTCTTGGGCTAAGTACAGACATTCAAAAAGCTTGAGATGGAATCGATCAAAGTTACATGGTTTCCTCTAAGTGGTGTAGGTTAGACTGGTAACAAACAGGGCACACATTCACCCTTTATTTTGGGGGAGAGTGGGGCATGCAGGCTGCCTACACTGCTGAGGCCAGTAGGATGGGGAACTCCCGCACACTTCCCAACATGCCTCACAGGCTACCTGGGCTGCTGGAGACTGCTGAGTGCAGCCAAGCACCAGAGGCACCCCTGATTGGCTTCCAGGCATGGGTGAGAACATCCCCCTCCCCACGATATATCATCTGTCAGCCAAAAACATCTGTCAGCTGCAGGCAGACAGCTGGGGCTCGGGTGGAGGGGAAAGGGAGGCATCCGAGTCCCTGCATGAACCCCAGCATGAAGCACTCCATGACGTACACACAGACCTGACACTAAACCTAGGAGAACACCCACAAGCAGGTGGAGCACCACAGAGCTGCCCATGCCCAACAGCCCAGCTGGGCTTCATGGTGCTGTGCCTGCTCACAGGGGTTCTTCTGGACTCATCATAGTCAAGTCTCTGTGCACATTGCGGGGTGCTTCATGACGGGGTTTGTGCAGGGACACCTCCCTTTCCCTTTGCACTGCATGCCTGCCTGCCACTGACAGCTGGCCAGAGGCAGGAAAGGGGGCTGCAGAAAGGGTCTGCGCTAGAAAGGGATCTGCATTAACTTGACTTTGTGATTGCTTAGGGAGTGGGGCCTTCTGGGCACTCAGTCTGAGGAGCCGAGTATGAAGCGAGTGCCAGCACACTTCCCTGCAAAGGAGGAAGGCACTAGCAGGGGGCCATAAAGGAGTGTGGGATGCTGGCAATGACCTAACATGAATTGCTAGGGGATCTGGCACAGAAGTTCAAGTCACCAGTCTAACCTAAATCAATTAAGTTTGAGTGCACGTTGATCCAGGCCTATTTTAGACCAGGCTATTTTAAATTATTTCAATGAGCTTTAGTTAAAGCTGCCATTTTTCAGTACCAGACTGCTGATACATGTGATGCTCTGGGTGCTTTAATTAAAAAAGCTCTCAGAGCCACTTTAATTAAAGTGCCTCCCACTTCTGGAGCACATGCATAAATGCCCAATGTGCACCAGACTTCTGTTCTGTTACAGGTATAGGCCTGCTTCTGATCACTTATACTGGTAAAAGTGAAATGTCTGTATCTGGCTATAATGAATATTCCTCCTTAGTCATAAAGATTCCTTTGGTTTGACCAGAAAAGAAACCCAAATGGTTTCTTCTCTAGATAAATACTAAACATATAATCTGGTTGTATTTTTGACAATCTAGAAGCAGGCTTAAATCCTTTGTAAAGCAGGCTAGGGAAGCAACATAATGGGACGTAACATAAAGGCCCATGAGCCACAATAGCTATATGAGGTATCTGTACATGGTATGCCAGAGATCACCATTCCCTTACCTATGACATATTTAGTATTAGCATTCCCTGTGCCACAGAAAATGGGAAGTCAGTCATTGCATATGAAACTTATTTAATTCCTCTGCCCTATACAGAAGCTAGAGTTACGTGGGAAAAAAATGTAATTCTAAGCTACTGAACATCACAATTCAAAGACAAAATGTTATCCTCTAATTTTCCTCTTTTTTGGGATAATTACACAGGACCACCACTTTGTGTTTTTAAACTCAGAATGTATATCTAACATTTCAAATCTTAATAGATATGTGCGTTAGTGTCTTGAACAATTTTCTAAAACTGTAGTATTTGAGTGCATTCCACCTAAATTAGATTGGAAAATGATTTAGCATATTTTATGGTGCCTTCTGATTTATTCCTTTCCCTAGTTATGAGGACTTTACTTAGAAAGATTTGGGCATGAGGGGGGAGGGAGAAGTGGGAGGAAATGTGAGGACATGAGGTTGCCATAATTTTCAGTCTGATTACTTTTTGAATGAACTACACCTTCCCTGAATAGACAGACAGCATTTAAATTCACAACAAAAATGAGGAAAATGTCTGTGATGTTGAAGTAAGGACAGAAGTATGATGCTACATCTCTATAGCAAGCAGCCTCTAGTGCTTGTTCACTAGCAGTTTTGGGTGCTTTAACAACAACAAATCAATCACTGGCCTCTAATTTTCAGAGGCCAATAAAGGGTAACTAAGACTGAGGCATAATATATAGTAAGGAAAAAAAGGGAAACCAGTAGAACATCCACAGCTGAATTTTCAAAGCATCGCAGATTTTTGATAGATTCTACTTAAAATTCGATGGAACCACATACATGTCTATGTCAGGACCATAGGTCCAAAGTCCTAATGATCCACTGAGCTAGTAAAGTTAAAGCACAACGGCCTAGTGACGTGGCTAGCATCACATCAGCTGCCTTTGACCTCCAAAGCCTGAATACCCACCCCACTTATAGCTGGGTTGATTGCAGGCCGCATTCTGCATGAGTCCACCTCAGTGCGCTACCTGGTTCTGGAGCCAGAGGGAGATATAACTTAACAACTAAGGCTGCCATGCCAGTTTCACCCTTAGGTAAATATAATAATTTGCTCCACTGTAGTTCTAGTTGCATTCCCATAATCTAACCTTCTAAAGCCTCCACTACCCCGCCATACAACTGCCTGACAACTTATTCATGAATCACAAAAACAATGGTTGGTATGATAGAGACAGACAGACACTGCATACACATGTGAATCTACAGTATAGGAACTTCATTGTATGTTTGTTTGAATTATGTAATATGGAGACACTTGTCAACTTGCCATTTTAGGTCTGCACGGAAGCAGTATCAGTGATCAAAAAGCAAAGCAACTGGTATTGAAATACGACTTGAAATACAACTTGTTTTTAAAAGACAAAAATCAGGTGTCCGTGGTTGCCAAAAGCCAAACTGGAGTAACTATACCAATTCACAGAAATGACTGTTTTCATCCTGAGTCTAAGATATGTGGATTCATATCTAACTTCTAAAATTGTCCCGACATCCAGGACCAAAATAAAAAAAAAAATTGCACCCTTACAGCTCCTATTACAGTATGTTTTAAATGTTTAGTTATCATATAGTAAAATGTTTTCTGAATTCTTCAGGGTTTTTTTAACCACAAAACGATGGATAAGAAAAATCAGTTAAAATGTAATCAGTGTCATAGAACAAACTCCATACATTTTGAAGATCATCAATGTTGATAACTCAGGGTTTTATTAGTAACCAAGTCTGCTAAACACATAGGTTCTAATCTTCAGTTGGGATAAATGGACATAACTCCAGAGGAAAACAATGGATCTTTTGCCCATCTACCAAGTGATTGACTTACAGCTACTGATACATTCAGTTTGGGCCCTGACACAATGCTCAAGATAGAATAAGTTAAAACCTCTAATATTTTCCTTGTTTCTGTCATGACTTGTAAGAAATACCAGAGTATGGGTCATATTCTTTTTTAATTGCTGTAAAAATGAAGGACTTTCTAGATGTGCCTCATTTAAACCAGTGTTAAATGCAATGCTGTTCCATTTATATAATTTGCAAACCACCAAATACAGAAGATACAGCACAAGAAGAGTCAGGTTGATTCATGTGTGGGAGGCAATAGGGGCACACACGCATATTTATAGTAGATATTATTTGTCTTGTCACTTTAGTAGTTATATTAATAGAGAGATAGAAAACAATTACCTTTCCCACATACTGAGGTTCGGAGCCCATGTATTCCTCCAGCACAAAAAATTGATTCCATACCCAGCCTCGTTTGACCCGCTGGGCGGATGACCTCCTCCCTGGCATTGTGACAACATTTTCTCTTGGCTCGGCTTCTAAAGTCTGCTGTGGTTGTGGCTGCAGTGGTGTTAGGAGACCTCCATCAAACAGGACCCAAAGAAGAAGGGATAAGCAGTTCCTTGTAAGCATTGGCAAAGGCTTCCCTACTGCAAGTAATAAAAACTCCAGCACTTAATGCTGAGCCGTAGAATCCAGGTTTGAGGTGTCTGTGGCCTCCACCACTTAGCTTCTGATTTTATTGCGGAAATGCTAATGCAGACATTAATCCTTCTGATGACAAGGTTTTTGCCGCATTAAATTCCATCTAAAGGGACCTATAAAAGAGATTTACATGGCAACATCAAATTACGTAAAATTACATTGAAGTGTTCATCTAAATTCTCACACCTAGTTAGTTCCTTGAGACAGAGAGAGAAGCTCAAGAACCAGAGCTTTAAAAATAATTAGTACTGTGGTTTCAGCATTGAGCTGCTATAGACTACTGCAAAGCTACCATAAGAATGGTTCATTCTGACTCTACTTAGCATTACTTTTGTGTCAGTTTGAAGACAAGTATGCAGCCTCTCCTTAATGGCCCAGTTATCAAATCTCAGTGATTTCAAGTTATTTACTTCTGATTCGCATAGAAAATACTGAGGGATAGTGGAGCAATAGGTGAGATGGTTTACTTTTTATCTCTGCTAGAAAATGTGAGCTTGCAAAATGTAAGCCTGCTTCCTCCAGTTTTAGATGCACTGATATCACTTGTCTTAAAGTGAAACAATAGCCATACCCACATGTGTGAGAAAGGGCTCCTCTTTGTTGTAATTTGAGCCAGTTAAGGGGGGTGGGGAACAAATTAAAGCACAGTTTTAGCTATTCTCTGATGTAATAAACTCAACTCTTGGGCTAAGTGTAGACATTCAAAAAGCCTGAGATGGAATTGATATAAGTTACATGGTTTCCTGTAAGTGGTGTAGGTTAGACTGGTAGCAAACAGGACACATATCCAACCTTTGTTATGGGGGGGAGGAGGGCATGCAGGTTGCCTGCACTGCCTGAGGCCAGTAGGATGGGGAACTCCTACATGCCTCCCACCAAACCCCACAGGCTCCCCAGGCTGCTGGAGACTGCTGAGTACAGATGTTCAAAAAGCCTGGAACTGCTCACAGCCTGCTTGGGACTGAATCTTATTCTTAGAGATGAACATGTACAAGTTGCACAAAAATAAAACATGGAAAAGTTGGAAATGGTGCCAACGTAGGAACCAATATTTAGAGAATAAAATAAAATGAAAAAAAACAACAAACACTGGTTCAAAAATGCATGTCCCGATTGGCAAACTCTTCTCAGGACAGGCTTAATGTTAAATAATAGGGATGATGGTGGTTTGGATTGGGTAATCTTAGGACTATCATAAAAAAAAATAAGATTTATACAGGTATGTGAGGAAACACAGCAAAATAGCAGTCAAAGGGGAAAACCAGAAAGCAATACAGAAAGCAGTAATACAAGACAATGATACTCATTAACACTGAAATGTACCAGATTTAAAGATTAAAAAATAAATCAGCACTAACCAACTATGTGATTGAGAGAAAACTAGAGTTTCTTATGGCCCACTCATGGTGTGCAGAGCCAATTTTAAGCGTATTTTGTGGTGGCTCCACCCCTTGGCACTGATCGGCAGAGAGGCCCCATCCTTCAGCAATGATTGACGGAGGAGCCCCAGGACTGAGGAGGGATGAGGGCAAAGCTGCTATCTTGATTGCTGGGTGTCCTGCATCCTGCCCTGCCCTTCAGTGCTGATTGGTGGAGAGGCACCGGTAGGGGAAAAAGGGATGAGGGGCCAGCCACCATCTTGTATGCTACCCTTCACGCTGCCATGCCAGCTGGCACCTTCCCCTCCTGGCAGTGAAGACTGTTGGCTCCCACTGGGGAGTCAGCATTTTATTTTTTATTAAGTTTTTTTTCTGTTCATTTCACAGATTTCTTGGACGATCCTGAATGTTGTGGTTTTTGCGAAAGCTGCAAGACCACGAATTAAGTAGGTTCCTGGTCATTATATTAAAAACATTATTCTGTGAACCTAGCACAGATTACTTAATACAATGACTGATAGGGAGAAAAAAAATGTGGTGTTTCCCAGCCACAGTGTAATTACTGAGGTGTTTTTGTTCTTATGAATTTCCATGACTCATTGACAGTAGTTAATATTTTCATCATGCTAAAAGTATGTAACAGATTTTTTTTCTATATTATAGAAATAGGGAACTATTTCAACCAAATGTGGCCTTATAACCCATCACTTGATGTATTCAGTTTTCATTAATATTCAAATAATTGAAGTTTGCTTGAACCCAAGCCCAACAAAACTGAATTTTAAGATTGCAAGCCTGAGTATTCACAAGCTCTATGTTCATCCACCTATGACAATAAAGCTAGCTAGGCCCAGGCAAATGTCAGCACTGGTCTCTTGGATTTTCATGGCGCCCAATATGTCTGTTTGACAAATACAGTTGTCCGGCTTCTGCTGCTCTTCACTGAGTGCCAATAACCATGATTTTACATGGGACACTGTTCATTTGCACGGCAGGGGATAGGAGTTGTTTTATAAATAACATAGCTGCATAAAACAGCTTGCATCAAGAATGCCACCAAACTGGGACCCTGATGGAGACCTACTGGACAACAAAGCATTTCTCATTAAGATCTAGATTCTGTGGCTGAAATTCTGTTTCACACTTAGTCAAGCAGACTCTCTACTGCTTCCAGGCAGGTGCATTTTACATCTTAAAAAACAAAATACAATTTATATCACCATGAAATTTACCACTTTGTTAGGGTCATATTGTGCCATTGATTTTTTTCAGCAGAAGTCTTCATTGATTTCTGTGGAGACTTCTGCGTAAAAAATAATAATAATAAAAAAATCAATGCTGCAATATGGCCCTTAGTAAAGACGATATGGCAAGCTGCTTTACTGGATATATATTTTCATGTTAAAGCATTGTCAAAGGATATATTTGCCTTGTGAATAATGTTATTATCAGCAGTAATCATTCTCTTAGTCTCAAGAATACACATTTGGGTGTTAAGGGAAATCTTACAAGTTCTTGGAAAGAAGAATGTTAGAAAAAAATCTGTCTCTACAAGTATTTCTATTTCAAAGATGAAATGCATGCTTTCGTTCTTGTCATAAGGATTTCATTTGGTTTTCTATTTCTCCTCTCCTCTCTTTAACTGCACTCATTTCAAAATCTGAAGAGCAAACAAAGGGACATGCAAAGATCCAAATAAAGGAAGAGATTAAAGTGTGGTGATGACGACTTCAGTAAAAGTGACTGTTTGATCCTTATTTTCAGAAAGGATTAAAGTTAGCTATTTGCTGTAGGGAAATAAAGGACACAAATAAAGGAAATAAGGGACGCAGATCTGCCCCATACATTTGGTTTTAATAAAGGATCCTGCCCCTCCCCGGATGAATGCAAGCCATTTCCTCCTTTTATTGACAACTGAAGATCCATAGGTAGCTAAATAAAATAGTGCTCATACAAACAGAATTGGCTGAATCCATTAACAGAAGATGTGAGAGAGGACCCTTTAATGCTATATGCCCACATATGCTCAGTCCTGGTACACATGAAGTGCATTTCTGTTAACAGCTTTATTTATTTAACAGTTCAGATGACTTAATGCATATACAGTACACAGCCTTCCATTCAAATTGTGTTAATCAATAATTCAGTTCCTGAGCTGCCAGCTTCATATGCCTTCCCTGCTCAGCAGTTGCTGACTCTCTGGCTAGTATATATGGCAAAATCTCAACCACTATGGATCATCTGCACAGAAATCTAGGCGTCCTCCAATTGCTCAGCCACAGATTAGAGACAAAAATAAATAGCAATACAAAAAGCTCCAGGACAACCCTTATGGCTCTACAGTCCTAAAAATCATTCTGTTTTCAATTTAACAGCTACACCACAGCTCTTTACTGGGGAGACTATGCTCAGTACATTACGGTTCTCCCGGAAGACCTCAGCCTCCGGCCACATCTGTCAGCCAGGGAGCTCTTAAAGTGCAATGAGATTGAAGGACTGCAATGAAAGGGGAACAATTCCCCTATGGCTGGAAGGCTGGTATCCAAGTACAGCACTTTATCACTTTAACCCCTTCTCTGGGGGTCTCTGGGCCTGCTTTTTTAAAATCTAAACACCAGAGAAATGTGGCGGCATTAATTTGAAGTGATGGTGTAGCTAACACTCACCTGTTACCTAAAAGATCCATAGTGCTCCTCTGTGTGTGTGTGTGTGTGTGTGTGTGTGCGCGCGCGCGTGCGTGCATGCTGGCGGGGGAGGGGGGTTGTAGGAAAGCAGAGCAGCCTCTTCATCAGCTGCGGCAGAGTGTTGTAGGACTGCAGAGCAGCCTCTTCATCAGCTGCGGCAGAATTCACCAAGTGAAAACAGTGACGTTGGGAAAACCAAAACTCTTAAATCTTTAAACCACAACTCTCCAGCAACCAAGCTTCCCATTTCCCTGCATCAGGCTTCTGTCAGATAAAAATACTTAAGCAATGGGAGATTGGGAACCAGGGGAAAGAATTTAAACAAAAATACATCATTATTTTCTGCCAGAACTGAGGGAAACCTGGAAAAAAGGGCCAACATTCAGTATATTTAGTAACACATCTGGCCAATGCTAGCTTCCGAATTGTTGTACATTTTCTTCTCTCTCTCTCTCGATTGATTTTTTATTGGATTGTGCTTTTGTTTTTATCTCTGTACTGATTTTCAAACCCAGACGCCAATTTGGGTGCCTGAAGCTTATATTTGGCTTCTTTACATTGGTGTCTATTCCGTTAGGTATTTAAGACCGGTATCTATGTGTCTCTGTGCCCAGATGAATATCTCTGGAAGAGGGAAAGGAGGAAGTAGGCAATCAACTGCAGTTAATTTTTAAACTTAAAGCTAAAGTACTTTGGCCTAAACTCTCTTTACAAGCCTGGTAGTAGTTAGCTGTCCTTCCTGATGCAGATTAAAATGTTCTCTCCCACATATCCTTCTGGTACAGTAGATGTAAGTGTGGAAGTTATATGTCTAATCTTATACCCTCCATGGTCTTCAGTATGCCTACATATTGCTTTATCCTGCAGAAGCAGCTATGGACAGAGACCCTTGCAGAAGATGAGAATCTCAAAGATGTGCATGGGACCTTGCCAATACTAGGACTGAAGCTCTATATTTCTTCCATTTGTTCAATTTCCCTGTGTGAAAGTCAGTATCTTGGAAATATCTATTAAGA